TATAACTCATCTAGAAAATTTTAAATAACAGAATGTAAATGCATTAGAAAGTATTAGAAATTAAAAAAAATCAATTTAATAGAACATTAATGATAACATTGTATTTGAGATTTTAATATGAGAATAAAAACCAGCAAGCAGCAATAAAAAAACAATATATTTTGCTAAATTGTGATATATAAAAGCATGTGCATATTTGAACATTCGGGTTTTCTAATTACAATCTCAAAACTAGTCTTCAAATTTAAATGACTTACCTGGGCCAATGTCTATAAGCCCTCCCCGGTATGAACCCCGCTTTTTTTTATTTTTCTCTTTTGTGAACCCCTTTCCACGAGTGACTGAGAGGTCCTTGTATGCACGTTCCGCATACGCGTATGGAATATAGGCATTAGAAGGGTGGTCGTGTGACAGCTGCCCGGCTAGCGCTAAAGGTGTTGGTTGAGTCCCTGAATGTTTAATAGATGGAGTAGATGCGGCTGGGTTTGAGCCCCGGGCTGAAACGATGTTGAATGTTGAAGTAATGGAGGCGGCTTTCTTGAGGATGGCGGAGGAGGTCGCGGATTTGTTTGATTGATTGCTTGACTGTTCCTTTCTCCTCTTCTTGCTCACAGACGAGTCGGATGATGATGAATTGGAAGATGAGTCGGAAGAAGAGTTGCTCGATGAGGAGCTATTTTTATGTGTTGCATTTGAATCTGCTAACTGTCTGCAGCTCGAACTGTTATCTGTATCGGATGAGCTTCCGGAAAATGGCGAGGATGAGGAGGGCGAAGAGTCACCAAAACCCTTTTTGACAGACCCGGGAAGCGGAATCTGGGCAGCAATGGTAGCTGCTTCTGCTGATTTGGTAATTGGTATCAGCTTCGACTTGACAGATGCGGATGTCGACGAAGAAGAATTAGAGTCAGAGGTGGAATCGCAATCGAAATCAGAACTAGAATCAGAACCTGTATCAGAGCCTGAAAATGATTCAGATGACGATTCTAAAGTAGAAGATGACTTGGCCAATGAGTTCAGCGTTGGTTTCTCGGTTGTCAGCTTTGTTCGCTTTACCTCGGGATGGGCCTCGTCCGAGTCAGAATCACAAGACGAACTCGAGCTATCATCATGTTTGCGTTTTTGATTGCTCAGTTGAGTAATTGGTGCCTTCTTGACGTCCTCATCGCTACTTTCACTTGCAGAAGATGAGCACGAGGAAGAAGATAAAGATAAAACTGAAGAGGGCGCACGCGCACCCTCCATAACAACATCAGAGTCGCTAGATTCAGTAAAGTTGGAATCGGACTCGGAATCGCTAGTATCACTTTTGTCCCTGTCGCCGCATCGCAGTGTGCCCTCTTTCTCCACAGAATGCTGCGCATTGCGAATAAGCTCCCATCTCTCAAAAATCTTAACTAAAAAAGGCTTATTTGTGGTCCCTTTATCATTCGACTTGTCTCCCGCCTTCATAAGCGATTTCTTCGCCTTCCGCTCAGCAGTGAAAGCCTTGCTGGTCTTGTCGAAGCCGTAAGTGGTAAGGAAGCTGCTAATAGCAGCTATGAGAGCAGGAGATACAGAAGCGTTCTCAGAAATAGAAGCGCCTTTCTTATTTCCATCCTACTTGCAAAATGTTTATTAGAACTCTGTTTGCATGTCTAACGCGAGAAACAGCAGCATGGATTGACTAACCTTGCAAGTGACTGGCTTCGAGACAACCGATTTTTTCGCAGGAGTTGGCTTCGCCGTCTCGGATGACTTTTCGACGTCCTTCGAGCGTGCCATCTCGACTACTTTAGTGCCACGAAAACAGAGTAGCCTGTTAAGATTAAAGAGCAATTCAATTGTTCTCGCAAGGTCAATAGATCGAAGACCAAAAAAAAAAACTGCAAAATTTCAGTTTGCGGTGAACAAGAGGAGCTTGTGGGACAAGGTCTGACACTAGGCGATATATGGTAACTAGCCGTGCCAAGCGCACTCACCCTTTACACTGTACAGATGCTCCTGCAAAAAGTTTTGGCTCGCCCTACTAAGCACTAAAAACGCCACAATTTTCTTCTGAAATACGCACTGAAATTAATACTGAAGATCCTGTATCTCATTCTTTTATTATCATTCAAATTAATAAGTAAGTTACAGTGTAATTAGTGAGGTCTTTCTTTCTTATATTCATTGCCACCTTCTAACTCTATAACCTTCTTAATATGAACAGAAATCCACTCTATCCAAGCTTAAATCTGCTCCTGTGGTAGATCCCTTCATGTTCTTTCCCATATTGCTATAGCTGCTGCCCGGTTCTGTGGAGCTCCTTTGACAGTTATTTTTTGTTTCATTCAGATTCAAGCAGATTCAATCATATTGAGAGCTGAGGAATTCACACATCAGAGCATTCATTGAATGTGATGAATCTCATATATATGATGTTGAATATAGTGATCATGAGCAGGAGCTCGATCCTTCTGGACAATGGTATTTGAATATTTCTTTTCACACTCATTGATAAAGGAAAAGAGCTTTGGAAGAAGGATTATGATCTGATATTGATATCAATCAATTTCATTACTTTTATCACAGAATAGTTTGTCTGTTTCTTTTTTTCATTTTTATATTGATTGAGGTTCTAACAGTTGATGAAGATTTAAATATTATATTTCATTTTGAAACTTTCATTTTACTTTCTTGATTGATTTTATTATTTTATTAAAAGAATCTATATCCTTTACTGACTGAGCTTTTTCTTGAGCAGTTTCCAGATTCCAGCAGTGACAGGGATTTTTTTTATCATATGAAAAACAATTTCAAAATATGAACTCTGAAGACCTCTTTCATCACTCATATATACAACTTCAAGAAAATCTTTTCTTGAAAATTCTTCAAATTCAATATTTTTTACAATAATGAAGCAATATAACAGATGTCTTATCTGATTATATAACTCTTTTTCAATCTTTTAAAGTTCAATCTTGATTATCTAGATATCACTGAAGTTGTTCATATTTTATTTTATTGATCAAGCCAGGTTTTCAAGTAGATTTAATCTTTTTTATGCCTGCTTTTCACAAAATCTTTCATACAATATTGAGTGCAATATTAAAGCTCTTCTCATTGAGTTCAAGAGCAATATCAGCACAGAATTTCTCCTATTCATATTAATTTCAATGCATCTACATTAATATTTACTCTTGAATAAAAAAAGTCTGCTTTATAGATCTGTCACTGCAAAGGGCATCTTGAAGAAATTCATCACAGATAGTAAGATAGAAAAAATCAGAGTTGAAATCACATTCAAGAGCTCTGATATATATATAATTGATTTAATGAGCAGAGAGATTTGTAATATTCATGATCTCAATGATAGTTTTTACATTATAAGATGATTTGAGAGCCACTATAAGTGTCTGAGTGGCAATATCAGTATTGAGAGCCATGATTGGAGGCAGCACTGATGATGAAAAGATAACAAACTGAGGCAATAGAAAGTAGATAGAAGCTTTTTATATTTTAAATGAGGGGTAGTTTTATTACATTTCAATACTGTGATGATGCTCACTATTTAATATAGCGATTTTTTAATTATTTTAATGAGATAAATTTTTTTGCAACGGCTTCTGTACAGAGGTGTATGAAACCCGCATTAAGATATTCATGTTAGACCGGAAGTGGTAATTACTTTAAAGATATAACATCATTAAACTTATGTGAGGGGTGATGACAGTGTGAAGAGTGAATAATAGAAGATAATAGATAGTGTAGTGAATGAGAATAACAATAGTAATTGTAGCAATAATAATAGTAGTAGTTATAACTAATCACTAAGAAGAAAAAGAAAAAGAAAAAAAGATGTATAAAATACATACATTCATATATATATATATATAAAAATAGTAATAGTGAGAATATAATAAAAAGAGGTAAGAATAAGTAAAGATAATATAATAAGAAAATAATAAATGAGTGCATTAAAATTGTCTCTCTTTTTTATAAGAGCTGTTTTCAGTGATTTGTATAGATTGCTTCACATCTTTTAAATAATTTATATATATATTGTTATCAATTTCTTAATAAAGTAAAATTGATAGATTCTTTAATTATTGGAAATTGTATATAGAGAAGTAAAAAGAATTTTTTTTTCTGTGAAAATTTTTATTTTTTTTTAATTTAATTATTATTAAAATTTCTTGTCTTTCTGCTGTGATTTTTTCATTCCCAAAAAAAAAAAAATTTTAAACTTTTGTATTGATTCTTTTTTCCCTTTTTTTTCATTGAAATGAATTTTTCTAAATATTATGATTTTAAATAAATTGTTCTCTGATTGATGCTTATCATATATTATTATTGATGTTTTCTATTAGTGATGTTATTAATGTGATCACATACATCATTAATTCATTTTTGTATAACATCATTCACTGTTCATTTGTTGTATTGCTTTAACTCTAATTATGTGATGTATAAAAGTTAAATTTTATATGAATGTTGTGTCTAAGCTGAAAAATATCAATTTTTGATGTGTGTTGAAATTCAATATTTAAAAGTATTGTGAAACTTGTGTTTTTATAAAAAAATTCTGTAACTTTATAAATAACTCTTTTTAATTTTAATTTTCTTTTTCTTTTTCCTCTTTTGTGAATTTGTGTTTAAATAGATAAATAATGTTATTAATAATGTTGATATATTAATAATGATGTTAGATGTGTGATACATTGTTTCTGAAATGCATTATATACAGATATGTGTTTATTTTTGCAGAGATAATGATTGAAGAAAGCCCGCGTGGCGCAGTTGGTAAGACTGTTACTCAAGGTAGCACTGTTAGATGTGCTGTAGGTTCGAATCCTGCCGCTGGCAAGGTCCCATTTTGAGCCACTTCTTACCCATAAAGGCCCCCGTGATCAGAGGCCAAGCTTAGTGAGGCAGTGCTGACAAAGATGCCGCTTGGCAGTGATGAGGGTGGTGGCCGCTGGAAGCCGCTCTCATTAGTGCCAAGCATCTCCCCTGTCATTAATGCTAAGCTAAGCAAGATCCGATGATTACAGAGGGTCGAGTATAGGGTGCTTATACCTGCTAGCACCTGCCAAGGCTCCCGGCACTTAGGGGGCCACCCCAACAACAGGGAATGATTTTAAAAACCATCCGATTGGTTGCCTCATCAGAGAGGTAGTAGCAAACCAAACAGGACACCCTGGTAGGCGCCCAATCTCCAAGGCCTACATCTAACATTATTAGTGGGTAAAACATTAGGTGGGGTAAGCCTATGGTTAGTCCCTTACACGGGGCAAGGCCACGACGGCTGGTTGGTAGGCCAAGGGGGCAATGGGCTGAGATCGGCAACTGGAAGCCCTAGGCTATGGTGATGTCTAGAGTAGGCGGTGGCGCTTAACTAGGACCCCCAGCTGGAAGAGCCAGAACTAGTTAAAGCCGCCCGAGAGGACGGACGCGGTGGTCGGTTGGTTATAGGGGTTATAATATGTAACTAGCTTAAGGTGCATCCTGCGTGGAATAGCCACGTAGACCAACTATTCCTAAATCTTATAGAGTGATATCTCGACTGAATTGTCTGGGAAAAATTTTGGAAAAGATAATTGCAACTAGACTGTCTTTTCTATCTACTACTACTGATTTATTATATGATAATCAGATGGGAAGTAGAAAGCAAACCTCAGCAATTGATGCAGTTCTCTCTGTAGTTCATGATATTCAACTTGGAAAGAATGAAAAAATGGTTATAACTGCAATGTTTATTGATATAAAGGGTGCATTTGATTGTGTTTCACTTTCTTAAATGATTAAAACTTTGATAGAACTGAGAATGCCAAAGTTTCTCATTAAGTGGGTTGTCTGTTTCATGTCAAAAAGAACTATTCAGTTGCTTTTTGATGGAATGAGACAAGATATAACAGATATTGAGATAGGAGTTCCTCAGGGTTCCCCAGTCTCACCCATTTTATTTGCTATATTTATCAAGTTTCTGTTTATTGATAGACAAATGGCAATTATAGTGAGAACTCCAAGCTATGTGGATGATTTGGATCTAGTTGTAAACTCAGAATCAATTGTAAATAATTGCAATTTGATTGAGCAAGCAGCAACTGAAATGATTGAAAAAGCAAAATTAAAAACCATCGTTTTTGATATGGATAAAACTGAATTAATTCACTTTTATCCAAATTTCAAAGAAAGAGATACTGAAGTTAAGCTTTTAAATCATTCAGTTAATCCAAAAAATTTAGTTAGATGGCTTGGTGTCTGGTTAGATTCTCAGTTAAATTTTAAATCTCATGTTCAGATCAAAGTTGCAAGTGCTGAAAGAATCTTAAACAGTATTTTAAGACTTTCAAATACTGAGAGAGGTTTGTCTTTTCAAGCAATGAGACAATTATATATTGCTTGTATAACCTCTGTTTCAGACTTTGCAGTTCAAATATGGTGGAAAAATCAAAAGAGTTTTGTAGAGAGGTTTCAAAAGCTTCAAAATCCAGCTTTGAGAAAAATATTAGGGGTATTTAAAACCTCTTCAATTAAAGCCATAGAGATTGGAGCCTCTCTACCACCACCACAAGTGAGATTTGATAAAATCTGTATGAATTATTCTCTCAGAATTATGAAGTTATATCCCAATCATTCAATTAGAAAAAAAATCTCAACTTCTTTTCCAAGTGAATCAACTGGAGTAGATTTGAATTAGGAGTCATATTTTGATTGAAATAAAATAAATTCATCTGATAATTCAATATCTGTGTAAAGAAAGAAGATACCATCTCAGTTATTTAGAATTTACTCTATGATTAAAGACAGTTTCTCTAGTTTAAATGTGGAGAAAGTGGTAAAATCTCTCTCCTTGGAAGAAAGATCTTGTCAGTCATATTGATTTAAATATTAGTCAACTTTCAAAAGAAGTGCAGACTGAACAATATCTAAATCTTCTAAAACAAATGAGAAACAAAGCAATTCTTATATACACTGATGGCTTAAAATGTGAGAAAACAGGCAACCTTAGAGCTGGAATAGCATATTCAAAAAATGATAAAAACTATATTCTTGATTCTTGGCAAATTGGAAAAGAGTCAGAAGTTTTTAATGCTGAATTATTTGCAATTTCAAGAGCTTTCAAATTGGTTGAGATGAAGATTGAACAATGGAAAAGATTTGAGCATATTTGGATATTCTCTGATAGTCAAGCTGGGCTTAAAAGGCTTCAAAGTAATAAAATCAGCAGTGGACAGTCAATGCTAGAGCTGATTTTGAAAAGTCTTCAAAATATTCAAAGAAAAATCTCACTCAATTGTTCTATTCATCTTCACTGGGTGCCTACTGGGGGGAGATAATCAAGGTGGCCTTCGCATCAGAGAAACTTGAGATGATCCATCTTACAAGAAAGCGACACAATGAGGCACCAGCAGTAGTTGTGTCTGAGGATCTCACTGTTCACCCTGTTACTGCCCCAGCTGGACAGGAGCCAGCACTTCGCTGGCTGGGTGTACACTTCGACAAAAGGCTCACCTGGAGACCACATGTCTCCACCCGGGCAAAGAAGGCAAGGGCCGTGGCCCAGCACATCCGGAGTCTGGGAAAGACCAGAGACGGGCCCCCAGCAGACGCTCTGCGGAAGGCGGTCACCACCTGCGTGGTTCCCTCACTGCTCTATGGCACAGAGGCCTGGTACGGCGGCCGCACGCAGCCAGCAAGGCACACGGGCAGGAGTGGGGAGGTTAGCTCCCGCCTGGGATGGCATGTGGGGACAGTTGAGAAGGTGCTTACTATGGCAGCCAGAGGGGTCCTCCCAGTTTTCCGTACAACGCCCATCGCTACCCTATACCGGGATGCTGGGCTCCCATCAGCAATGGTAGCTCTGGAGGAGGCCAAAATGCGATTCGCGACAAGGCTTCAGGTGGTGGATGAGAAGCACCCACTGGCTTCACGGATAGCACCTCCAATGATCACACGAGGAAGAGGGGCTGGAACCCGGCAGCGCTCAAAGACCAAGATCCAGCGGTTGGGGGCGCTGCTACCTGCAGTCAATAGACCCACACTTGCCATCCCACACTACTCAGAGGGATGCGGGACAGACCCCACAGAGGGTGTAGACAAAAAGAGTGCTGCTCAGGCATTCAAGAAATGGTGGAGAAGTCAACCCTCAACAGATCTATATGTTTTCTCAGATGGATCAGAACGGAGCCTTGACAACAGCAGGCAGGTGGGCTATGGCTTCATAGTCTATCAGGGAAATAAACAGCTGGCCAGCTTCTCAGCTGCGCTGAGCCCTATGTCACATGTCTTCGACGCTGAGGCAGTTGGTGCCTGCCGGGCATTAGAGTGCGCTGTGAAGCTCCTACCTTGTGTCACAGAGGACAGCAGCAACCCTCAGATCTGGCTCTGCCTTGACAACACCTCAGTCATCTGGGGCATACGGGGCAGTGCAGCAGCCTCCTCAAACTGGGCCTACAACCGCTGCCATGAGCTCCTCAGACAGCACAATGTCGGCCTGAAATGGGCTCCTGGGCATATGGGGATAGAGGGCAATGAGGAAGCAGACCGCTTGGCTAAGCGGGCAGTCTCATCCACTGCAGCCCCAGCCTATGGTCTCGAGGCCACACCCACAGTCAGTGGGGTCCGCACAGTGGCCAAGCAGCTCAGCCAAGAGGCAAGGCGAAAGTGGTGGAGTGGAGCCTGTGGCAGGCTCTCTGACTGGTACCGGGGCTGGAGTTTCAGCAGGCCGACTGTGGAATACCAAGTGAAGGCCCCTCCGGAGCTCACCATGCCACGGCATGCCCTTCACCGCTGGCTCGCACTCCGCTCCTCTCATGGGGACTTCTCCTGGTACCACAGGCGTTTCCAGCATGCAGATGCGAGGCTCACCTGTGTCTGTGGACACAACAAGAGCCCAGAACATTTGGTGCTCTGTCGACACTCACAGAGGCACTTTCTTCACTGGCCCAAGAGGCCAGCAGCACGGCCACACAACCGGGCGACAGCTGTTGCCTATCTAGGGTCTCTGACCCCTACAGACTTTGTAGAACTGCTGGACTGCACGCAGTTCTACACACGGTACTGCACAAGGTAACGCAGCCGGCTGGCTGCAAACCATCTGACAACCCCCGCAGCAGTTCCACGAGGCCGGCCTGCTGAGTACACCCACGGTAGCTAGTGCAACTGCCAGGGACATCACAGTCTATGCAGACAGTACAGATAGCACAACTGAGCTCATCTGTCTCAATTAGCTGTGGTGTAATCAGTACAGTCTACGTGTCTGACTCAGCTGATATGGTTTTGACTGCCGGCATTGTATCTACGCGTGCTCTGCTTTGTTTTCCTCTCGTTTGCCCTTGTCTCTATCGGCTCAAATGCTTCTTCTTCCTTCTTTTCTTTGCTCTCTCTGTCATTCTCTGCTCTTTTCCTGTCACAACCTTCTTCAGTGCTCTCTCCTTCATTATTTATCTTGTCTGTCTTCTTCTGATGTTAGAAGCACAGACAGCTTTCTGATCAACTGAGAGAGGTATCCCTCTCTGCTCACTATAAAGCCTTCCAGGCACGGCAGCGGCGGTCTCCTCAGGGAACCACAATATAGCCCCACCATGAATGGCCATACGTCGGGCCAGAAGTGGATGCGCAGCTCAGAAAAATCCTTTGCAATGAGCTGAGTCTTCTCAAGAGTTGCCACCTGGATTCTGTTTTCTCTCTCTGTGTACATAGAAATCTCTCCAGCGTAGCACGTCTCCATGCCCTTCGGGAGGCTTCTGAAACACGGGCGCTGCCCGTGTTTTCTCCGGGACGTTAAACCTATACATACATACATACATAAGTGTCTTTGCTTTGAGTAATAGTCATTGTTTTCTTTTCTGCTGTGGTGTATAGAACAATCTTCTTTTGAGCAAAATGCTTAATGAATGACATTGTGATTCAGATGCTCTGAGTTTCCAACATCTTGTGAACTAGATGATTCTTTATTTTCTTCATCTTCCGTTTCGCAATAAGCGCAGTTGTCAATTCCACATGGATAGAATGTTTCATGGTATGGATGGTTCGGGTTGGTTCGTTGCCAGTTGATGTCGTCCTCTTGTGCTTGTATATGGTATTCACAATCGCAACCATACATCTGATATTCTTTGTGTCGAGGATGTTCCACATTGGCCATTTCTTCATCCATTCGTACAGCATGGTGTTCACACTCACTGTGTAATAGCTTATGCGTTCGTGACTCGTTCGTGTCCCGGAACTGTTGGTGGTAATGTTCGCACTCTTCCCAGGTTCATTGTTCATGATTTGTCCAAAACCTATCTATTGCTCACTGTATGTGTGCTAATTTCTGAGCTCACTCTTCTTTTCATTGATGTCTGTGAATCATTTCAATCCCAGTTCTGACAATTTTCTGCAATTCTCTTCACTTTTCTTGTTGAATTTCTTTATTGCTCTTAGATATTCTACCTTCTGTGGCTTTGTTGTCGCATGTAGTCTTTTGCTTTGTTTCTCAGAGCATTGCCTGGTCATATGTTCTGACTTTTCACAATTTATTGAAACATAACTTCTCACGTCAACACTTCTGTTTCTTATCGTTGTCTCTCTTTGGCGGCAGAGTGGTGTCCAACTCCATTGAATGTGGTTCATAGTAGTCATTCTGTTTCTTGTGGGTTCTAGTTGCAGGTGTGTAGTAACCTTTTTTTTCTAACCTGTGTTCATGAAGTCAATTATCAATTCTGATGGCTGTTTCTACCATAGCTGGTAACTCTTCAGGCCTTTGAGCTAACTTTGATATCTCATCTTTGACTTCTTCGCGCAGTCCTTGATAAAATTGTGCTGCCAAAGCTTCGCTATTTCAGTCCAGATGTGAACTCAACTGTTGGTATTCAGATGCATATTTTGTAATTGATTCAGTCTGTTTGAGTTGATACAGTTTCTGAGCTGCGGAATGTTTCTCATCGATGTTCCCAAATGTTTGTTGTAATTGATTGGTAAACTGAGTGTAGTTATTGAATATCCTTGTGGTTTGTATATCGCGATCTTCTTTTGCTTCGTGGAACCACAATCTAATTCTAGGTTCAAACCAATCGAATGCGGGTCCTATCAAGAATGTTGATGCTAACAAGACTTTGTCCGCTTCTCCTGCTAATTTCAGTGCATTTACAGCGAGATAGATATCCATTTGACTAAGAAAAGCTCTCAACTTTCCATGTTCTTCACTGAATAATGTAGGAGGGTTGCACTTAAGTCCTTGAGCACTGAATGCTTGCTCCAACTTGTTGCAACGTTCGAGTAATTCCTTCACATCGTACTTCCCACCATCGACAATCGATCCTGTCTTTGATGCCATAGTTAACCTTTTTAAAGCTTGGGGATTCGTACCTTAAACTTAGCTAGTTGTGTTAAGCTTAGTTTTGTCTCGATTAACAAGTTGTTCCTTCGAGCAGGGATCTCCGTGACCTTGGATTAGGGACGATCAATGTTGCTACCAAATCTCTAACCTAGCAAGCTTCTCACTGGTATAAGGTAAGGTCGGGGCTTATATAGTGTTGCTGAGCTTGTTCACTAAATCAGGAGGTAGTGCCACTATCACAGGTTAAGATATAACATCAAGAGAAATATCTAGAATGACTAGTAATAGCTACAGCGGCGGCCTAAGGTAAACAATAAGAATACCTAGTAGGGCTTACAGGTAGGGGCGAAGGCTTAAAATATGCGTCATGAAGAAGTATACTTAAGGTGAACTTATAGTCGTACTATGTAACTGAGTATAAGTAAAGGTAATAAGTAAGAGAATGAGTAAGATAAAATTGATCGTGATCAAGAAGATAAGCTCCTTGATTCTAAGGGTAATGAGTGTGTTTATATACATCTTGAGATACATGAGAATAGCTCGGATAGCTCTCATCAAGATAGCTATCAGAGTGAGAATAGCTGTGATCACTCCGCTCACTTTATCTCAGTAAACTCAGCCACTCCACTCCGAGCTAACCCAATCCGAACTACTGCTACTTTCTGCCAAGTCCTGCTAACATCTGAGCCAATCAACTGTCACGGGGCTTACACTAAACCTAAATGGGACATCCCCAGCAAACTCTTCGCGGAGCGTCTGAGAAAAAACGGTTCCTGTTTGTTAGCAACACGGGAACGATTTGCTCCAACCATAATGTTTGAGATAGAATCACTGTGCAACATCACTCATAGATCATTTCTCTACCACCTTGGAGGGTAATTTTCAATTTCCTGTCGATTGATGTAATTTTTATCTGAAAATACATATATTCTGAGTATGAAGTGTCGCGTCGAAAACTGCTACTATGATTTTGAACACGGGAACGATTTGCTAATTTTTCAACCATGATCATGTCTAGTCATCCAACGCCTTGATCTTGCTATCAAAACATCTATCCAGCCATCAGAGACTCTAGTCAAAGCACCGAGTGTATTTTCCAGCGACTTCCGGCAACTTCTGACAACTTCTGACAACTTCTGAACTCTTGGCAACCTCACGCGGCACATCAACTTCTGACAACATCTCTGAACTCCTGACAACTTCTGGGATCTTCCGACAACTTCTGAACCAATCACATAACACTTCTTTTTGACAGCTGGGTCGGACAACGTCCCATCAACTGCATCAAATATGGCCAAGGGGGATCGAAGAAAACGCGCAAGTCAGCTACAACAGCGGCTTCAAAAGCCATCATTAAAGCAAATACTTTCAATGAACATTGAAGATATGCCACAACTTGTCATGAGCTATGCCGGACCAGATAGTATCGACAAGCAACAGGATGTTATTCAGTATTGTCTTCAACGAATACTTCAAGGCCCGCGTCCAGATCCTGAGTGTACTCTTCAGCCACGCATAGAACAAGTCCGTATACTTCGGCGCATGATATATGGATATAGCGACACTTTATTCATTGCCAGAACTGGCTATGGAAAGAGCCTTATTCTTCAATCCTATACAATTCTGACAGGAAAGATAACCATTCAACTGGTTCCTCTAAACAAGCTTGGTGATCAGCAAACAAGAGATATAGCACGGTTTCCCGGTGCCAATCCTTGTCTGGTCAGTGCTGATAATCTCCAGGGGCAAGAAGACTTACTCAAACGCATTCAACAAGGTGAGTATACACATATACTGCTCAGTCCAGAGCAAGCTCTTTGCAAGCGATTTCAGCATGTTCTTCAAGACCCTACTTTACAAGAAAAGATTGGGCTTGTAGCTATCGATGAGTGTCATCTTGTCACACAGTGGAGTCAATTCCGTAGTCAGTTTGCCAGGCTGGGGCGCCTGAGATTGCTTCTTCGTGAGGATATTGTCTGGTTTGGCTGTTCCGCAACCCTCAGCAGTAAAGCTGAAGATATCATTCTTCAAGAGGCTGGATTTCGTTCTATTGGTGTAAACCCACGGCAGACTCAGGTTATTCGAACTTCCATTAACCGTCCTGATATCTTTATCGGCGTACATCCGATTCCACGCGGTAAACTTGTATCCAGGAATAGGATGAAGCCAGTTGCGCTGTTCAAAGATATCTGTAGATTTTGACTGCTCCATCTTGACCGACCGAATGAGTTTTGTGGTCAAAGCATCTCCATACACTGGAAAGAGACGAGTTGAAAATGCTGTATGATCTCTTGATAAATCAAGAAAATCGTTAAATATCTTCTCATGAACTCTCATAGTTCCTGCAATAGTGCCCTCATTTTCAAAAATAGCACCCAACTGCTGAAAACGCGTTCTATGCACAGGCAGTGTATTAATAACAGGCATTCGAGGTAGTAAATCATTTGCAGTACTAAAAACACTTTTAACCCCATCATCATGAACCTTTCGAACAGCATCTGAAATAAGACATGATGTTATTTGCTTCCGAAGCCCATTATCATTGCCTGCCACACCAGGTGCATCAATGATTTCTTGCAGTGTTAGCAGTCTTGTAGAATCATGCATGATCTGAGTTAGACCAGATTCTGGAATCTCGGGGGAAATAACCACAGCAGCAGTAGTCACAGCAGCCATGGAATCGTTGTGCCCGATTGTCTCGTCTCGTACAGTCTCCTTGAAGTTCATATTGTCATAGACTATAACGGCTCGAGGATCTTTGACAAGCTGCCGAAGTTTAATCTAACAGTAAGAATTAGTCAAGTGATTGACTCAGAAGTTGATAGAAGTTCAAAGAACATGCCAGAAAATGACAGATGTTATCAGATATTACTAGAAGTTTGAGATGTTAGGTAGAAATATTAATAAGTTAAGAATATTAAGTCATACCTTCTCTCGTTTAGCAATTTCCATCATCAATCTATTCCCCATCACATAGCTGTGACAGAGTCCAAAGCCAGAAATGGTTTCTATCACTCGTCGTTTTACTCCCGAGCCATGAAAATATGCAGAGAGAATAGAGCTGAAGAAGTTTGAGTTTTTCAAGGAATAAGAGTGGCATATAATACTCATAATAACAAACAACCGTTTGATAGCTGTTGTTTCATCTGAGCCCCATTCATAGCTCTTTCGATTGGCGCGTTTATTTTTTAGAACAGGAGTAAGTAGGTCAAACCAGGTTGGCGCGTCGGTCCGGATGGTCTCAAAAGCAGCCTGGAAGTCAATGGTATCCAGATCAGAATCGTGATTGAATTTTGCAAAGAAGGGAGTATTGATAAGGCATTTCAGCTCCTGTTTAAGCAAGACAGTATAACGTTGATTATCATTGAATACCCCTGCTTTGGAAAGTGCTGAATATAGTGCATTTCGCCGCTTCGTAGGAGTACTGTATCGTCGATGAGTCAAGATATCGGGACTCTGAATCCAAGCCTCTATAAAGGCCTCCATTCCCCAACTGTTTCGCTGTAATGTTCTGACAACGCGAGATAATTTTGACCGTCTTTTCTGCCGGTTATAAGGCATTGTAGGCAGGTGCTGTGGGCCACGGCGGTTTGATCGTGAACAAGCTCGCGGGGTATCGGTATCAGTATCGGTGATCTCGAATTCCGAAGGAGTATCAATAGATTCAAGCTCTGTTAATCTACGAGATATTAGGTTGCGAGCACGTGTGAAGTCTCTTATTGGTCCAGAAGTTAGCAGGACTTGGCAGAAGTCTAAAGGAGTTTAGTTGGTCGCGCTAATCCGAAAATATCGAGAAGAGAGGCTGAGCATGCTGAGATAACCGCTCACTCAAGTGATCCGAGTGATCCAGATGATCCATTATATCACGTGACCTATTGTTTCTATTGGTTAACCGGATCTTTCCTTATCCGATGTCTAGCTTGCATTGCATGCCCTCTACCACCAGTCGTTCCTTGTCCAATGGCTCTCAGAGTTGTGCTGTAGATTTGTAACATATATAATGATGATGATTATGAAATGCTTCTGACTTTGAAAGTGCTGAATATAGTGCATTCCGCCGCTTTGCAAGAGTATGATATCATTTATAAATCAAGATATTAGAACTCTGAATCCAAGCATTTATAAAGACTTCCATTTCTCAATCATTTCATTATTGTAATAGGCGCAACGGAGATATCTATATTAGGAAATAGATACGTGGCGATAGATACGTGGCGATGGCAATATTATCTATATAATGCTCGCTGATATCCGTGGATTTTAGGAGATCAGCGATTAGCTTTGAACAATAGAGATTGCTACCTTCTTAATATCCTTTGCGTACTTCACACTACTCTTGTAATTACTCTTGTAGCCCATCTCTTACAATTCTAATCGCTCTAAACCTTATTTGAGTGGTCCGTTGTTACGCACACCTACAACAAAACACGCAACGTTAGTTAAAACACGCAACTTAAAACACGCAAGATGGTTTCAACACGCGCAAGATCCCTTGGGAACCAACCCGAATCCTCTACCACCTCCGACGACCACAATGCCCGATTGCAACAGTTAAACGATCAAATCCGTGAACGAGAGCAACAGTTAGCTATTCTGCACGCGCAACAACGCCTCAACGAGTTGGAAGCACAGATTCGCGAAGATACTTTTATCGAGTCCCGACCAACCCCGGATATCGCCGCAGAACCGCCGCAAAATCGACCCGTAGATGATATGGATGATGATAACGAAACACCGCCGAGATTGGAGATTAAGGATTACTATCGAGGAAAGAATATGTTAGAATTTAAGGACTATAAAGATCGCATGTTGACTCTCTTTGCACGCCACCGTCGATATTATCGAAAAGAAGAACGCAAGATAAACGACGCCAAACTCTACCTTGATGCCCACGTTAAGCAGAAGTGGTTGAATTTTGTATCAGCATACGAGAGACGCGGAGGAGCAACACCGTTAACATTCGACGATATGCTATCACACCTAGAGATGCAAATTAACGACCCGCAGAATCAGCGTCGATTGGCGAGCCAAAGATTCCAGGATGCTAAGCAACAGGAGTGGCAGTCGATACGCGACTTTTCTAAATATCTCGAAGATTGGGAGTATTACTTACCCCCATACAGCGAGGAACAGAGAATGGATAACCTGCGTAGTAAGGCATTGAAGGTGCTACGCACCGAACTCGACCGTCGAAATCAAGAACCCCAGAACTACGAAGAGTTGCTTCGAACTCTACAGACTCTCGAGGAAAATATGCCGGAGCGACGACGTGCCATTCGCAAAGGCAGACCTGCGATATTCGTAGGGAATCAGCGTCGTTCTGATAAATCTAGCAACCGCCGGAATAAAAGGAAACGAGAGGAACAGACGAGTTTAACTGAACAAACCAAGAAGGATAAATATAATTGGATGAAGGAGTGCTCACACTGCCATAAGAAGGGGCATGTCGCAAACGATTGTTGGATGTTATACCCCGAAAAGCGCAACCAAGTCCGACAAGCAAAAAACTAGCAATCCCAATCGTAGGAGCAGCTGCTGCATTGGGAATACAGACGACTAGGCTGCGAGATAAACACTTATTGGCAATGAACACCTGGATGTTGACAGAAGTGGGATGGTCAATGGCGTGGACGTTAGTAGATTCTGGCGCGGATGCGAACTTCGTGTCCCATGCTTGGGCATTGAAATATTTCTCGAAGTCAGAAGGTAAACCGAAAGTAGTGGAAGCAGTTGATAATCATAGGGTTAAATCATATGGACAACGAAAAGCTGCAATGAAGATTATCGATGATGAACATGTCCTTCGGGAAGGATTCCACCATTTCGAAGAAGCCGACATCAGTGGATACGATGTAATTCTGGGTATGCCATGGTTGCAAGCTGCGAACCCCGACATTGACTGGGTGCGAAGATGCTGGACCTATAGGAAAGCGTCAAATATTAGCCACGTGCACCTAGATACCGCTAAGGAATTTGCAACTTTAATGGACAACAGCAACATTATATTCGCCGCCTTTCCATTGCGAGCTGCGCACGCAGCGACTGAGCCAAATATCCCGGATGATTATAAGGATTATCTTGATGTATTCCGAGAAGATATACCTGACGCGGAACACGCACCCCACGATCATGCCATAGATCTCAAACCTGGCAAGGAACCACCGTACCGACCGATATATAACCTGTCACCTCAAGAACTCTCTGTCCTCCGAGAATATATCGAAAAGGCATTAGAGAAGAATTGGATACGCCCGTCCAAGAGCCCAGCCGGTGCGCCAGTATTATTCGCACCGAAGAAAGACGGAACCCTGCGTCTTTGCGTAGATTATCGAGGGTTGAACGAAATAACAGTCAAGAATCGGTATCCGCTGCCCCTGATAAGTGAAATACTCGATAGGTTAGCAGGTGCCAAAATATACACGCAATTGGATCTTAGGGACGCGTATCATAGAATTCGCATACGAGCGGGGGATGAGTGGAAAACGGCATTTCGAACACGATACGGACACTTTGAGTATCTGGTTTTACCCTTTGGGCTAACCAACGCCCCTGCGACTTTCCAATCTTATATCAACAAAGCCCTCAGTGATATTTTGGACGTATATTGCGTAGCTTATCTTGACGATATCGTAATCTATTCGAATACGCTTGACGAACACGTCGCCCATGTTAAGAATGTGCTGGAACGTTTAAGGCGATGGAGACTATATGTGAAACTTAGTAAGTGTACGTTCCATGCAACAGAAATTGGATTTCTGGGTTTTGTGATTACCACGCAGGGCATCACTGTCGAAAAACGCCGCGTCGATACGATCCTAGATTGGCCTGAACCGCGAACAATAAACGAGCTGCAAACATTCCTAGGATTCGCCAACTTCTACCGACGATTCATATACAAGTTCTCGATAATAACGGCACCCCTGACTGAGTTGCTAAAAGGATACGAAACAAAAAAGGGGAAGAACAACGCACCTGTCCAACTGAACGAGAACTGCAAGCACGCAATACTGCAGTTAAAAGAATGCTTTACAGAAGCACCGTTGTTAGTTCATTTTGATCCGCAGCGAAAACTCCGTATAGAAACGGACGGATCTGGCGTTGCAATCGCCGCAGTAATATCGCAATTAATGGATGATGGTCACTGGCACCCGATCGCGTTTTGGTCCAGAAAACTCACAGAAGCAGAAAGACGTTATCAAACATATGATTTAGAAATGTTGCCGATTGTAGAAGCTTTCAGGCAATGGCGCCACTACCTACATGGTAGCAGGCACCCAATAGTTGTTTTATCTGACCATGCCAACCTCCGGCGCTTCATGACGACGAAGCAGCTAAATGGGCGTCAGATTCGTTGGATGCAAATGCTCTCAGCGTTCGATTTTGAAATTGAGCACCATCCTGGGGAAAATAATCCCGCAGATGCACCAAGTCGTCACTCAGATTATATAAAACACGCAGCTCCCTTGACGGGGCTCCCTACCCTGCAAGAGAAGCTGCGTAAGGGGATCTTTAAGTCACTAAAGACAAAAGAAAACACAAAGTTAGACCAATGTGTCAAGATGGTGCGAAAAAATCTGCAAGTTAAAGAAAATTGTTGGGCGAAGGGGCCCGTAGTCATCGATGACAACAAACCCTGCAGGATAAAGAACGCACCTGCAGATGAGAACGAAGTCGCCGGCGTTACGGGGTTAGACCTAGGGACCCTGGTGCCACGGATTCTAGCCGTTAAGGTATTTGAGTCCGAGATAGCCTATCGCGAAGAGGTAGCTGAATCTATTGTCGAACTCTTGCTGCAGGTTCAGAATAGGGACGCTGGCACGTCTGAACTTCGCAGAAGACTAGAGGTGGGTGACGCTAGCGTAGGTGATCGTTCGACCTGGGCAGTAGACAAAGATGGCCTGCTCAGGAAAGATGGTAAAGTCTACGTACCGCAAGACAAGGCCGTAAGGCATGAAATAATGAAAATGAACCACGATGATCCCCAAGGTGGCCATTTTGGACGTGACAAAACCATCGAAGCGATCAAACGCAAGTACTCGTGGCATGGTATGAGCGATGAGATTGCAGAATATGTGAGGACCTGCGATGTTTGCCAACGCGTCAAGATACCGCGGCATAAGCCGTACGGGTTGCTACAACCACATCCAGTGCCAGATAAGAAATGGCATACAATCAGTATGGACTTTATTGAAGGCCTACCAGATAATAAGAAGGGAAGTCAAACTTACAATGCTATTGTCGTATTTGTTGATTTGTTCACTAAATGGGCCATAATTGTACCCACATCTTCAAAGCTAGATGCGGAAAGACTCGCGGACATTATTGTATGGAAGCTTGCGAAAAACTTTGGCCTACCTGCGAACATTATTAGCGACCGAGATTCATTAATAAACAGCAAATTCTGGTCAACATTATGTTACTTACTCCATGTCCGACGAAAATTATCAACAGCCTTCCATCCGCAAACCGACGGCCAAACGGAACGATTGAACCAGGTGATTGAACATTATCTTCGCACATATTGCAGCTACCAGCAGGATAACTGGATAGAGTGGATTCCCCTGGCGCAATGGGCATATAATAACGCCTTCCACGCATCGATAAAAATGACACCATCTGAAGCGATGATCGGCCGACCAACTGAACTTCGTATAGACGTGGAACCCCCAAGCACGGGCGCGTCAAAGTCGGCGATAGAACAAGTGGAACGGATGAAGCAAGCGGAAAACAGGATTCGAGAATGCCTAGAAGCTGCCAAAGCAGCTGAGAAAAAGTATTATGATCAGCGCCATATACCAAAAAGCTTTAAGATAGGGGACTGGGTAATGCTGCGTGCAAAAAATATATCCACCTTGCGACCTTCACCCAAACTAGATCATCGATTTTTGGGTCCCTTCCAAATAATTGATATACGCGGTACGCAGGCGTACAAACTGAAGCTTACGCCACAATATAAAGGAATTCATCCCGTGTTCCACGTTTCCCTTCTCGAACCGTATCACGCGCGCGACGGACAGATCCCACAGCCAGAACCGATAATTATAGACGCGCAGGAGGAATGGGAAGTTGAAGCTATATTGGATAAACGTCAGTACCGTGGTCAAACCCAATATCTTGTTAAATGGAAGGATTGCACAGACGCGGATAATTCTTGGGAACCTGAAGAAAATTTGGTGAACAGCCAGGAGTACTTGGAACAGTTTAATAAAACCTATCAGGAGCCAGTCAGTAAACGAAAACGAAGAAGGCGACGATGACTGCTGGATATACTTATTCCGCCCAGGGATTAAAAAACAAATCCGCCTCAGCTTGGCCAGTGTCATTTGAGGAATTGTCACCAAGGCAGACCTGCTTATTACCCCGGATTTCCTCAACTGGCGAAGCACGACGTTTCAACGATGACTTGGGAGCTGCGACCGGCGATGTAGCCACCGGGATCTCACCAATCACTGTTTCAGCCGGGGCCTCAGGGGAACCATTTCGTTGAGCCCCACGGATCTTCGCTGCGAAGAACTTAACTGCAGCTGTCACAGCGCCCTGTAAAACGTTAACGTTCGAAGCGTCTGCACCAGCGACAATTAAATCCTCAGCTGCATTGATAGCTGCCTGGGCCAACTCAACGGCGTCTGCTGGCACCAAACACGAGTTATTTTATATCCTGCAAAACATATATAGAACAATGACTTACCGGAACGCAAACGTGCTTCGTCACCGAGCAGTGCTTGCATTTCTTGCGTCGACCCTCAGCAGGCTCACAGTGATGGCGGGGAGACGTTGTTAAATGTCGAATACAACGACAGCAATATGCTGCTGCGTTCCTTTCTAACACTTCAACGGGACCGTCCGCTTCCTCATCTTCGCCAGCGTTATCGGATAACTCAAGTAACGCACCAAGATCCTTGCCCAGTATTCGATATATGGCAGGCGTGACAGCGTGTCCGCCCGTCGTTCACAAAGCAAGGGTATACTGGAGGGTTTTGCAACCTTTCCAGACAACCCAAGCAAATGCTCTCGATGGCATTCAGCATATCACCCTCCATAGGTTCTGAACCGGCAACGGAAGCAGCTGGTTCTGACATTCTATTACGACATTAATCAGTATCAAGAACCTTTTAAGAAGAGAGAAGAGGCAAGAAGCAGCAAGAAAAGAACAGATGTTGGTGGTTAAAACCAATGTTACAATATCGATCAAAGAAGTTGCAGCAACACAAAATCCGACCCAAAATAGAAAACGCAACCACGCAACCAAAACTTCGAATGTCGCAATAAAAATCGCATGGGAAGATACAGTGTACTTTGCTTGATCAATTGGTGTATTCTTTTAAATAAAAAAATTCGTTGTTAGTGATGATGGTGATGATCTCGTTAGGATACGATTTGTGGTGTAAAGGTTAAAGGAAAGGGGTTCAGGGGTTGTGCCTAAATCATGATTGGACCGCGATAACACCGAAACTGGAACAACGTTTTCCCGAGTCAGCAACGCTTCGGAATTAACCCGAACAATTAATTCGGTCCTATCCTGCGAACTTTATACAATTCAACCACACAGCACATATTACGAACTTCGCACAATAAGAAGCCCTGGGGACCAGGCCTTTGAAGAAGGGAGATAATTGTAATAGGCGCAACGGAGATATCTATATTAGGAAATAGATACGTGGCGATAGATACGTGGCGATGGCAATATTATCTATATAATGCTCGCTGATATCCGTGGATTTTAGGAGATCAGCGATTAGCTTTGAACAATAGAGATTGCTACCTTCTTAATATCCTTTGCGTACTTCACACTACTCTTGTAATTACTCTTGTAGCCCATCTCTTACAATTATAATGCTTTGATAATGTGAGATAATTTTGAATGTTTTTTCTGCTGACTATGAGGCATAGTAGGCAGGTGCTGTGGATCATAAATGTTTGATTGTGAATAAACTGATGAGATATTGATATCAGTGATCTGGAATTCTGAAGAAGTATTAATAAATTTAAAATCTGTTAAATCACTATCTGATGTCTCATATTCATCATCTAAATCATTGAAAGAGTGTAGTGATTGTTGAAAAAATTCATTTTTAAATGATGAAAGATATTGATTGAACTGCATCTGATATTGAATGTCTTGAGATTCAAAAGATATAGTGTCTTTAATCAATGATTGTGGCATGATGAGAAGAGGTAGCAAGTTGCAAAATAGCAGAGATGATAATGAGATGATTAAGAATTTAAAAAATATTGATTTGATAATGATCAGATAGATATTTAAGATAGATATATGATTTCAAAGTCAACTAAATATTTTGTATGAGCAGATTTGATTTTCCACAGACAATGGAACTGTTTCTTCTTAGACTCTCTATGAGATATTATGTTATGAGCACATGTGGAGTAATTGATTGGTCCACAAGTTAGCAGAACTTGGCAGAAGTCTAAAGAAGTTTAATTGATCACACTAATCTGAAAATATCGAGAAAAGAGGCTGAGCATGCTGAGATAAGGTAGTTTCTTGGTCATTCTATCGATCTCACGTGCCGCGTTGATCCAACCACACAATCACTTCGCCTCGGAACAGGAGAGCTATTTCCCGAACATGTTCTTTTCCTCGAGCTGCTCAGATGCTTCTATCCGTAGCGTATTTACTATCCGCAAATCTGTCAGCAAACTCCGTTCTCAGTACATGAATTCCTCGGCTGTTGGTAGTGATGCACTTGTACTCTAGTGAATAGTCAGGATGGATGACGTTGGGCTGGAGCAACAGTGTTGGACGCTATACCCCAACGGGCGCGAGGTGGACCTCACCAAACAGGAACGGGCGAGGGCTTGACCGCAACGGGACACGCTAGACCCGACGTGGTAGCGGCTTGCTCAAAAAACTAACATGCACTTGCAAATTTTACTAGTTATCCCCTCGTCTGGAAACCAGGCACAATTAGCGCGGTTTTTTAGCGTGTACATTAGCGTATTAAAAATGCGAAAACTACTGGATTATATGAGAGATCAGCTGTATTAAAATGTTTTAATGTAATTTATGTAATCTATTCAATCTAACTTTAATTAATATCATGAGAATGAAACTCCTGTCAACACTGACTTTTTTTCAAACAGAGAGGAATATTATTACATGCAGTACAATCATATTTTGATCTTGAAACTCTATCTTTATTCTGCTCTGCTCACTTTCTTTTATATTGATATCAGACACAAGTTTAAGATTTTGACAAAGAAATTCAATGATGATTTAAATCTGAATTTGATTGAATGGATGATAAAGAATTAGAGAACTCAAAGAGTTGAAGATAGAGTTATTGATGAAACTGAGTATGAAATAGAGTAATAGAGCTCAGAGCAGCAGAGTTCAGAGCAGCAGAGATCAGAGCAGTAATCAATTAATAAAGAATATAAATATTGACAATCATATGATCAATAATTCAGTATAGAATTGATAACCATGTGTGATTAGTGAGCATATGAGTCTCATAGGAAGCTCTATACTGATTTGCTAGATCAATCCCATTCATATTATGATTGTAGTCATTAATAATGATAGAAATCTTCATAACTTGTTCATATTTATCATCAAATAAACATTGTATCTGCGGGCCGTTGATGAAATTTATCTCAGAATATTTTCAAATATGTTCAATAAAACTGTCTAATTTATGAACTGTAGACAGTAGTAATACCACATTATTGTCATTTCATGTAAGATAGAAAACTTTATTTTGAAAGATTATACACAAAGTATTAAAAGGAATATGAGCTGACAATTCAGAGTTCTTCAATTCTTGCAAAAGAGGTGGTAGATTGGCAGGATGAATGATTCCACATATTTCAATTCCTTTCTTTTAAAGATAGTTGAATAGAGCAATAGATGTGAAGTAGTTGTTCATATAAATTGAATAATTAACAATCTCTTTACTGTTATTCAACTCTGAGTGTGGCTGTTCAGAGCTCTGAATATTGAAATTCTGTGAGTTGAGACTCTGTGAATCAGAGCTCTGCTACTCAGAGCTCTGCAAGAATATTAACAGCTATTCAATCAATTTCATCATAAAAGATTCAGTCTTGATTAACTCTGGAGTAAAGAACATCATACTTATATGGAGATTATCATGAAATATGAAGAAGATTCAAAGATAGTTATATTCTTTTAATTTAAAGATCTTATATTTCTACTTGATTGATTTCTGAGGCATCTTGACTGTGTATTTTGATTGACTAAAGAACCGAATCATCATCTCATCAATGACAAAATTTGAATCAGAAATGTAGTATTTCTGATATACTGTATGAAAGTTTAAGTATAGAGGCTTTAGCTTCTAGATGAAGAAAGATTTCAATTTGCAAGAATTGAATATATGAATATATCTCTTGATCTGCTCAAATCATCTCTATTCTATGTGAAATCTTGATGAATGAACAGGCCTCTAAGTATTATTCTTATTTCAATAATCTTCAATTGCCGGAGATTTATGCACCTTTATATAGATAATCTATTCAAGAAATATCTTAATTTTTGCAGAAGTAGTTGATTGTCAATTCTGCAAATTGAAAGCTGAATTCTTTGATATCTGTATTTTTGTATAAACATTAATAGAGTTTGTAATATTCTGAATATCAGACTCTGAGATATAGAGAGAGAATAGAGCATATGAATTCTGCAGATCAATATTGAGCAGATTGGCAGTTGGCAAATGATGAAGAGGCTTTATAAAATTGATGATAATATTTTTCAGAGGTGGAATATCTGCAAGAAATTTATTCACAGATTGCTTTCATTTCTCACTCTTTTTTATACTGTCTAATAAAATAATCAGTGAATATGATTAGAGGAGATCATAGAGAATTGAAAATCACCTTTGAATGCCATGATTTTTGCAGAGGTGGATGGGTAGAAAGGTGAATTCTTGCAGCAAAGATAGATTCTCACAGTTGAAAGATTGGAAGGTTGAAAGAGGTGCAGTAATGCATTGAGAGAAAACACAAGATAATGAAGCTGTACTAGCAAATAGAATTGTACATAATTTAGTATGAGAAATTATTGGTTGGTACTTCTGCACTAATAGCTTAGTTATTACACTACTGATATTGCGCTAATTGTGCCTGGTTTCCAGACGAAGGGATAGATGGGTCGGGTTACAGCGTGTTCAAACTCAACCCTCACAATAACTCAGTGATATGCAGAGATGCAGTCACTCAGCTATCAACATCATCACATATAATCTGGTTATTGCTGATGTGTGTTCAATTTCATGTTCATATATACAGGATACTTGTATTTAGTAAGAGAAACATTATTAAATTCAGATACATAGGATTTTACATATAAAAAATTATATAATCATTAATTGTCGGAGCTGATATCTCGTATATCAAGGATCAAAGATAACATCATGCTATAATCTGCCTTGTTGCCTATTTGCTTCACCTTCTTCGAAATTGCCTTGCTGCGCATTAGAGCACTGCCCCGCTTATATAATCAAGCATGTTCTTCCTTATAAATACTGCCTACTTATCATGTAATTATCGGAATAATAACAAATAATAAGCAATTCAATATTCTATTTTGATATTCAGTATTTGGGTTAATATTCAGACATTATTCAGTCCCAACAGTTATGAGCCCGGGTTAGCTATCTATCACTATCTCTTCAACTATATTGATATCTATCCATACCAACCTTCTTATCAGCAAAGATATCTATTTGATTATATCTATCTATTCAATCTTATCGACCTTCTCATCAATGATGATTGCAGCATTATCTATATCTATCTATTCGATCTCATCAACCTCCTCATCAGCAATGATTGTGGCAATATATCTACATCTATTCAATCCTTATCAATCTACATATCAATGAGAGATAGTAGTGTATTCTATACTGATTATATTTATTTGATTTTATATTGATTATTCATTCAATTCTATATCAGTTTTATATCTATATACAATGATCAAGATGTTAGCAGAAAATTCCTCATCAAAAGCCTCACTTTTTTGGAATTTTTCTAGAAAGTGAAATTTATAATACAATATGATACTAGATCTTGCCACTGAGCTCCAAGTACTAAATCTTATTAGTGAGAAAAGTTTCAATAGAATGAATGAAATATCTGAACCTGTTTCCCCAGAGTTCTTTATTGAGTACATCATGGAAACAAGGGTTAAAATGAGAGATAAAAAACAGCAGATACAACAATGATAGAAATATTTATAAAAAAAAATTTGCAAATATTAACAAAATCAGACAAGAGATCTTCAGAATAATGACATTCAATGAATTAAAAATAACAATTAAATGAAAACAATTGCATTAATATGAAGAATTTTCTAATTGCTCTTTAGAAGAGGTTATCATCTAGAATAGTGAACTGTCAGTATGAAATGTAAAATAAATATCAGAATTTGTAAAAAATGTTTAAACAGAATCTAAATCAATGATTAAATGTCTAAACTCTGATTGAAACAGAAATGAAGCACTCTGATATAGATTGCAATTTTAATATATGAAAAAACTTTTTCTTTATCAATATATTTATCAATAAAATGAACACTGCTATCTGAAAGAGAGAAGTTGAGATAAAAGATAAAAAGAATTTCTTCTTCACAGATGTGATTAATGATTTTTATTTTGAATATTACAAGAAAAAATACAACAAGTCAAAACTGTTTCTGTTCAATCTTGCTATTTTTAATGATAGATAAGCAGAACAAACAATCAAGATTCAGAATTTATATTTATGATTTTAAATACTTCTGAATCAAATGTTATTATCTCAATTCAAGTTATAGATCTGAAAGATGAAAGGAGAATGAGCAATGATGCAAGAAGATGAATGAAGCACTCAAGAATGAAAATATCAAGAAAAAGATAGATGCAGTATTAACAGAAGTTACTGAGATGATAAAATCAACACTGAAAGAAATGGTTCTTTTAAAGACAAGCAAAGAATCTACTGATCAATCATTCTACTGATCAATCATTCTACTGATCAATCTTCAATCACTTCGAATATCATGTCTGTCGATTGATCAATAAGATGTCTAAACATGAATATCAAGAGCTCTTTTTCAAATCAACACCTCTATCTTTGAGATTCCTGAATATTTGATACCAGTGCTGAGTGACATATCTGCAATAATCGATCGAGATTCCTAACATACGAACCGTCAGAAGAGTTTATACTGGAGATTTGACAATAAAGGTTATGAAATATGAAACTGTTTGAATCTACATGACCAACAATCCCAGCAAGCAGTTCAGAGTGATTTTTAGAAATGCTGTATATATTCCATTCTCTCACATCAACTTGATCGCTTGAAAACCCTGCTATCATATAGGGGGGATCTACCTCGATGGCAAAACATTCAGATTGCGAAGGATTAGCGATAATTCAATCTTTACTCATTAGAAGTATACAGCGGATTGCTGGTTACTGAATATCACAGAATTAGTGAGAACACTTTAATGCTCATTAATATTGCCTCATTTACTAAATTAGTGGAATTTGTGAAGATATCAAAATCATCAAATTTTTCTTCCTCTTACACTCTGAAGAGTTCTATTTCTTTCTCTAAGATTTGACATCAACATCTAGAACATTCCTCGATGAGAGCAGTTGAACATCTGTCAACTGATGTCAAAAAGGTTCAGATATTAGATATCAAAGATATTGTAAAGAGCAATGATATCAAAGACAAAGAACTCTGTGAACTTTGTCATCTTTTTAAAGCAAAAAATCAAATATCTCACTGTCCCCATATAAAATTTAAACTACCTTTTGAATGACTTCATACAGATATTGTACAAGGACCTTTCTGCTACAATGGAGAATGATGGCTCATACATTTTGTATGTGATTATCTTCGTTTTCATATCGCAGTAACAGCCTTGAGAAAATCTGATATAACAAAAGCTTTCAACAAGATTTTAAAATGGATTAAACATCAATTTGATTGTGAAACAAAGATTGTATGAATCGACAAACAGATGGCATTCTTACTAAGAAAGATCTATCTATCACAACTAAACTATGCTATGTTGATATCTACAGCAATTGGTTGCGAGAACGGATACAATCCGGCGATATCTCAATACAATGGACGCCTACAAGCAACATGCCAGCGGACGGGTTGACCAAGCCATTATCACAACAGAGGCAAAGAGAATTTATCAAACAAATAAAATTAATTGATATAACTGATCTTGTCAATAAAATAATAAAATAAGGTATAAAACTCA